GACCTGATGGAAGCTTTAATAGAATATCCAGAGGCAAAGACCTTGTTGGAAGAAAAGGGAAAGCAGATCCTTATGAAAGATGGATTACTGGATTTAGAGCAAGCAAGCATGAAAAGAGACACAGAAAACCTCGAGCAAAAGGTTAGCCAAATAGAAGGAATGCTAGATAATTTACAAACAAGGTTTGCTAAACTTTTAGCTGAATATAGTGCTGCACAGCAGAAATTGAAAATAAGGTTAAGACAAGTCGAGACTATAGTGAAACCATCCCTAGAGTATGATTTTTCAGACTTAGAAGAATTGCAGAGCACTTCTGGTCATTAAGGATTTGAAAAAAATCATTTCAGATATTCATACTTGAGGATAAATTAATAAATGATGGGCAGAACTATGTTAGATATTTCATTGGACATGGGAAACTATTCATGACAACTATGTGGTTTTTTTCTGGGCAGTATATGATTTTTAAATAAACCATGTTCAGTAGACATGTCTAAGAACTTAAATTTTGTCTCTAGGAAGCATATGTCAATGCCATCATATACTGTGGTTCAGAATTTCATGGTTCAATTTGGAAACTTGGAACAAGGAATTAATGAAGGCTTAGTAGGTTATATTCTAAATTTTGTCTGGATAATCCATCTAGAAAGAAACATTTCCCAGCTACTCAGTAGCTATTGTGAGTTTACAATTGATAGATGTTGCTAAACCATCTGATCATATTAGATTCATGAGTCAGAGAACAACCTTGTTATCATAATTATCCAGAAAATTCAAAGTGGTTTGTGTGATGTGGAAATATTTCCACAAGAAAAATCTGCACTGCTAGTAACAATGTTATTTATGAAGAATTGCTCTAGTTGTACTGACTGTAAGCAATTCATCATAAGTTAAAGTATCTGTTGGATAAACAGACAGAATCTTTTACCATGAGAGTTATTCTTTTTGATTATCAGTGTTTTAAAGCGGAGTATATTTCTGTAGCAACCAGATGATACAAATGAAATGACAGCAAGTCCTGCTGTCAAATTATAAGACTCAGTAATGGAGAAGATGCCTAATTGAGGAATCCAGAATGAAGATGTAAAATGTAGTACAGGCACGAAACCTTTCACGAAGGAGGAGGAGAAGGAGGAGAAGGAGAAGGAGAAGGAGAAGGAGAAGGAGAAGAAGAAGAAGAAGAAGAAGAAGAAGAAGAAGAAGAAGAAGAAG